AAAAATCAATTTTTTTTTTTTGAAAATACAAAAAATTGATTATTTTTCGAAATTATGAAAAATCGAGTTTTTTCGAAATTAAAAAAATCAAGTTTTTACGGAATTATGAAAAATCGATTTTTTTCCCAAAAATACAAAAAAATCAAGTTTTTCGGAAATATGAAAAATCGAGTTTTTCTGAAAAGTACAAAAAATCAATTTTTTTTCCAGAAATATGAGAAATCATGTTTTTTAAAAATTATGAAAAATCGATTTTTTTTACCGAAAATACATAAAATCGAGTTTTTTCAAAAATATAAAAATTAAGATTTTTTTCCGAAATTATGAAAAATCGAAAAGTTTGAAAATACAAAAAATTGAGTTTTTTCGAGAATAAAAAAATCAAGTTTTTTTTTTTAAATCATGAAAAATCGATTTTAAAAAACAGGTTTTTTTCAAAGTTATTAAAAATCAATTTTTTTCTTCCAAAAAAGCGAAAAAAAAAATTTTTTTCCAGAAATACAGAAAAATCATATAAATTTAAAACTAATTGTAAAAAAAGAATATCCAAATTTAAAATTTTTATTTTTATGTTTAAAACCTATTTTAAATTAAAAACCGATTATAAATTTTAAAATTGGTTATGAGATCTATAACCGGTTATAGATTAACTGGTTTTATAACCGGTTATGTAAAAATATAACCATTTATATGGATTGATTATGATATCCGATTATAATAAATGATTATAAATTTGATATTGATCGATTATCTGAATAATCCATCAATGAACATCCCTAGATCTATGAGATGAGATCATCTTATCGAAATCTTCCATTTATTTAAGTCTTGGCAAGTTTCTAATAGCATTGAAGTCACCCAAAAGACAAATTTTTTTCTCTCTTTAGAAAATTTTAATACAATCTACAATCTTTTATATAATAACAAATATAATTTTTTTCATGTTCCCTCTTTCCTTCCAACCAAATGAAGTTAGATCCTTTCCTTCCAATCAAATGAAATTAGTTCTAATTTGAGACTATGTTGATTTTGAATTTGTTGTTATCCCAGTTACATAATAGCCCTCAACCCCCTCCCCCCCCAACCGCAAAAATAAAAATCTTCACACCCCATACTTTTCAATATTGTTATGTCATTGACTTTTTTATTTTATATGTTTGATTCCACTTCTACAAGATACAAAATCAATTCTAGAGATGTAGAATTGATTCTCGGTGATTTTGAAGTGTTTAGTTTTTTAAAAATAAAATTGATTTTGTCTCTAGAATTAATTTTACTTGAAGCTAGACTTTGTAGTTTCTACCTCCAGAATTGATTCAGAATGATTTTTACATTGAAAGATATTGTTCAACTCACTTTTTCATAAATGTATCCAACATAAATCAATTCTACTAAACTCAATTCTTTTAAAATTAATTCTATTAAACTCAATTCTACTAGAATCAATTATGTTCACCTCCAATCCAAACATACACTAAAATAAAAATAAAAGATTTAAATTTTAATCTCCAATTTAAATACTTGTTTTTTTTAATAAGGATGATATATAAAAATAAAACAAAGTACCAAAAAGAGGGGGGGGGGGGGGGGGGGGGGGGGGGGGGGGGGGGGGGGGGGGGGGGGGGGAACCAAAACGCTCATAAGATCAAGTAAATCTAAAGAAAGGCAAATCAAGCTTGTTCTTTATAAAATCAGCCATAATAACCATAAGAATGGAATTGAAACAAGCAATATCATCCAACCAGAGACCTAAGTTAGCAAGGGTGTCTGCACAACTATTCCTTTCTCGAAAAATATGTGAAACAACAAAACGCCAATGAGAAATAATATTTATACAGTTAAGCCATATATTCCTAAGCTTCCACGACACACAAAAATGAGGACTGAAAGCTCTAACCACCACTGTAGAATCTGATTCCAACAACACATTACACCAATTCTTATCATGAGCAAACTCTATAGCTATCATAGCACCATAAAGTTTGGCCGTGAGAGAATCTACAACACCTACATTAGAAGCAAAAGCACCCAAAAAAGAGTCATCCATGTCTCTAGCAATACCGCCACAAGCCAAATACCCCGAATGTGGAATGGAAGCACCATCATAGTTAAGCTTTATCCAATTAGAAAGAGGTGGCTGCCAAAAGACCTCCAATATGTTCGAAGCTCAGGGCAGCTGAATGATCACCTTAAACCTCTTAAGAATATCAAAATCATGCATAGAAAGGCGAGGCCCCACAGGATTGGCATTACCCGCTATGGAAACCGCAACTGAGATATAAGAGGTAATAGAAGAAAAGGAAGTAACATTTTCATTAAATTTCACCAAATTTCGGACCTTTCAAATTGCATTAATAGCAAAAATAGAGGCGACAATGCAAAGCAACTTGTAGTGCTCCTTGCCCTACGACCCAAAATTTTTCCACAACTCTGTCCACCTAAGAATGGAAAGCTGATACTAAGCATTCGCTTAACCCAATCCCAAATCCTAGAAGCAAACACACGACCGAAAAAACAAATAATTCTCAGTTTCCTCTTCCAAACCACAAAGATCGCACCTAGAGGGGAAAGCAAAGCCGCGCCTTTTAATTTGATCATCCGTCAAAAGTTTATGGTGAAGGAGTCTCCAAACCATAAAAGAATTAGTCGGAAGGATAAATCTATTCCAAATCCATTTCCAGCTATCCTTAGAAGAGCTACGGTGCCACTTGAATTCATAAGCTGTCTTGAGAGAAAAATCGACATCTAAAGAGTGCAGTTTTGAATCTGCTTCTGAATAGGAGGCGAAATGACGGAGTGAGCCTTCAAAAAATCCTACTGGCTATTAACAATAAGGTCTTTAACTATTTGATCTACAATAATCATAGGGGCAACATCATCAACACACAAAGGAGAACCACACCAATTATCATGCCAAAGACTGGTGTTTAAGCCATTGCCAATGCACCAGGCGGAGTTATCCAAAACAATGTTAATCTCTTTTTTTGCACTAGACCAGATGGAGGAAGAAATATGATAAGAAATGAACTTATTATTACGCATAACACGGTCCCCAAGAAGTATGGCCCAACTGCAATGAGAATTAGTTAAATCCCAAGCAAGCTTCAATTTATACACTTCATTTAGCCTACACAGAGAACGAATGTCAATCCCTCCCCCCCTTCACGAATAGGTTTACAAGTGTTACTCCAAGTACCAATTTATTTTTTGAAGTTTCCCCGCACCAAATGAACCTCCTGATTGTCCTTTCAATCAAACAAAGAAGGGAGAACGGCCAATCATACACAACCATACTATGATTAAGCATACCAAAAACAGAGGATTTGACCATCTCCACCTTGCCGAAAAAAGATAACAAAGAGCCTTTCCACGATGCGAGTTATTAATTACACGATCCACAATAGGCTGCAAATACATCGTCTTTGATTTCCCTTTAAATAGCGAAACCCCAAGATACACAAAACCAGAGTATTTTGCCAAAATACTCAGCCTAGAGGTCGACATCGAACCCCCCGAAAATGAAGGATTTAGAGCAATTCACTTGCTGCCCAGAAACAACTTCATAATTGAGAAAAGTGCGGATGAAAATATTAATGTTGTCAATCTTCCCTTTGTAAAAAATAAATACGTCATCGACGTAAAGAATATGCAAAGGAATCTTGATATTCTTCGGGCCGAAGATGAGTTCTAACTGATTAGAGGAAACAAACTGTTGCAATATCTTGTTAAAGACATCTTTGGCAAGGCAGAAAAGCAACGATGAGAGAGAATCTCCCTAACGCACCTCGCACTCATGAGATAGTGTTCTCCACCTCATGAATCCATATATATATATATATATATATATATATATATATATATATATATATATATATATATATATATATATATATAATATATATATATATTATATATATATATATATATATATATATATATATATATATATATATATTATAGCATACTGACTATCCAAAATTGACCATTCAAATAAGACTATTATGCTAAAGTTATCTTTGGACCAATGGCATTTTATAATAAATCTCCTCCTTACAATTTCTTCCTTTGTTTCACACACATGCATAAGTGAAATTAAAAATGAATTATTTGATAAAGTTTAATTCCAATTATTGAATTAAAAACTTTTAATTAGATTTTACTTTACCTTCTAGTCAAATTCCGAATTATCGAATTATTTTTTTTCTAGGAATATGAGGTTTAAAAAAAATCCACTTCTTTTACACTAGTTTAACTAAGGAAACTAGAGGAATCCATAGAGAAGTGTTTCATTTTGTCAAGAAAATAACCATTAGGGAACTCAAAGCATGATTCTTTAGCCACTGATCGCTGTTTTCAGTGGATATGAATCCAATCCTTATCCTTTTAAGTGTTAATTATGTGCATGTAGTTAATTATATTCATTGACTTACTAGTTAAAATATCTACTTATAGTGGAGCAATCGCCATCCTATAAACTACGACTTGAGTTGGATTCAAGTAGAAGTTTTGTCTTACTCTCTCCATTTTATATATAATCTAATGGAAATAATATAATCTAATATTTTTCTTTTCTTTTCATTTCGTTCTATTTTTTTTAGATTTTTACGAGCTTTAAAATTAGTGAAACATTATAAATTTTTGTAATTTTTAATCTTTAAAAAATAGAATCCAGAAAATAGATGTAAACCGGTGGAGATGTTGACCGGCTCCACTTGATGAGAAAAGTAAAACTAAGAAAAAACAAGATTTATCCAAAACAAGTCCACAATCAATCAAAACATAGCACACTTGTTCAAAGCAATATGGTAGACTCAATAGGAAGAAAGTTTCAAACACCACAAAGAAAAGAACTGAAGCAAGAAAGTGATGGCCAACACCAACACCTTCATAGAACCATCTCATAATTCTGTTCCTTGAGTATGTTTCAAGACATATTCATTAGTTTTATTCCCTTTACTCTTTTCTCAAGTCTCTCATCATTCAAAACAAACCACTTCATCATGGAAATTCCTCCCCCTAGATTCAACTTCAAAGTAATTTTCTTCATCATCATTTCTCTCTCCTTTGGTTTCATTTCATTCTTCCTGTGTATAACTGCTGAGATAAAACGAAGTAAGGTTAGTTACTTCTCATTATTGATCAAATATGTGTCTGGTGTCTGATATGTCTGATATGTCCAGCACGACTCGTGCTACATGCTAATATGATGTTTGTTGTTCGTGTATGTGTTTCAAAAGAATTTTTTTGTTTATTTTGTAGGAGGAGGATCTTAGATGGAATGGAAAATTATGTCATATGCCAACAAGTAAAGCATTTGGATTGAGTATTGCAACATTGGTTAGTTTATTTTTTGCACATATCATTGGGAATTATGTGTTAGTAAAGAATTCTTATTCAAGATGGAAAAGTATCTCCAAGTTTAAGATCCCTACTTCTTCAAAGGTTCTTTATTTTATATCTTGGTAAGTTATATCATTCTCTTTACAATTAGGTTGCTAGCTGTTATGTTAAGTTGTTAATTAAATTGTTAATTAAATTGGTAATTAAGTTGGTAATGTTTAGCAGGGTTAGCTTTGGAATTGTAGTTATATTATTGATTGCTGCAACAAGTATGAGTAGAAAGCAATTCTATGGGAAAGGATGGTTGAATGGTGAGTGCTACATAGTCAAAGGAGGAACATATTCTGGCTCAGCTATATTGATTCTTGTTACAATTGGTTCTCTAAATGGTTCAGCTTTCTCAATATTAAAATCTAGCCAACCATATCAAGAATGGAAAATACACACACAAAGTGGTTTACATTAAATATTTAGAATATTTTTGTGTTCAAACTAATGAAAAAAAGAAAAGAAAAAATGGTTCCACTTGGAAAGTGGATGAATTTTTATCAATAGTGGCTTCAAAAGGATTGCAATTGTTTTATTATTTATTAATGTGTGGAAATAAGTGCTAAGAGCCCCACTAAGTAGCTTATCATTCTCCAAAGAAATATCTTATGTTTTTCAACTTACACCAAAAAGGATACACACTTCATTTGTACATATTCCATGTGCCTATGGTACAAGGGAACTCTTGTTTTGATCCCACTTGCAAATATTAATACTAGTTGTTTAGCTTTTTCTTATATAGTTTTAAATAAAAGATGGCTTTTTTTCTAATGGTATGAATGAAAATAAAAAAGGGGTAAACGTTTAGCTTTTCTAAAGGCTGGTCCAACCCAAGTAAGACTATTCAATTCACAATAGTTGTTGAATATTTTAATCTAAGGACTAATCAAAATCTTGTCTAGTGTCTAGTAGCTTGACTAATAAGCTTTACTAGCAGATTGCATAGTTTGTGTGATGGTTACTTTGGTCGTTATGAGTTAATTATATTTAATTAAATTTAGGAGTAGTAATTGGTTTATTTGCTATAAGTTGTGTGGTTTAGTGGTGCGGTTTAGTGTTGAAGGTTTAGATTTTTAGAGTATGATTTTTTTAAAGTCTTAGGTTCAAATCCTATTAGATATAAATTATCATTATGTCTTTTAAATTATGTCTTTCACTAGTTGTCAACTTCTTTTGATTTTAATCTAACATATTGGTATCTAAGAGTTTACACAATCTAAGGGGAGTTTGAAGTGAACAAATATCTTGTGAAAAATGATAGTTAGACAAATTAAGGTGATATTTGTAGTGCATGAAATATATGAACAATTGATCAATGGTGTGTGGAAACATTACCTGCAAACCCATCAAAAAGCACAAAAGAAAATTCACAAGGATGCAAAGACAAGAAAAAAATAGCAAGTCTTTATTTCTCATTCAACAATGTATTGATGCCAATATGTTTTAGAATATTGTTAGAATCTACAAATTCGAAGAATACTTGAGATCTTCTTGTGAAAAGTTGTGGAAAAGATGTAAAGGTCGATAAAGGGAATCATCCGGTCTTGAGGAGACATTATAAGTTGATGGAGATGAAGAATGACAAGATGATAGTTGATTACTTAACAACATTGGTGACTTTCACCAACCAAATGAAGAACTAGAGTGATGATATGACAAATGAAGTGGTGATACATAAGGTGTTGAGAATATCTGCCACAAAGTTTAATCATATTATGGTAAAATCGAAAAAACAAAGAAATTAAGTGTCATCAAGATTGAAGGCTTGCAAATTATTCTTGAAGCTTGTGAGTTGAATGTGACTTAAATAAACAATGGAAAAGAACAATAGCAAACTCTTATTGCTAGATTAAAAAAGTGAATTTGATAGGAAGAAATGGAAAAAATAAGGAGTTAAACAACTTGAAAGGAAAGGAAATTCATGAAGAAAAAAAGCTTGAATACTGATAGAAGAGGATGACGAAATGAGAAAAATCAAATCAATAAGAAGTCCTTCGACAAGAAGAATGTCCAATGTTATAATTGGGAAAAGTTTGGACACTTCTGATGAATGATGGTTTGGAAAAGGAAAGAACCCTCAAGAGAATGAAGAAGAAGAAGAAAATGTGTCACTAGAAGGCTCTAGATTTGAAATTGAACCATTGTTGATGATGGTGACAACAACTAGAGATGTATTTGATTTTATGACTTTGACATAGGGTGCTTAAATTATATGATAGGAAACAAGAAGGTGCTCATTAAATTTGACCCAATCAAAAGAATCAAAAAGTAAACTTGACTAAGAACAATTAATAAAAGAAGAAGGCACGTGGAATGTTCTTGTCCATGAGTAAAATAGCAAGAAAATTGTGATAGAAAAGGTTCTATATGTCCTTAAGATGAAATGCAACCTAATGAGTGTTGGTCAACTAATAGAGAAGAAAATATCACTAATCATATATAATGATTCACTTAAATTGTATTATGCAAGGAAGAGACTGGTTATGAAATTAGTACTTACAAAATAATCGAATCTCCAAGACCTTGATCAATGTATTAGAAGTTGATTGCTTTGTAAATATGATTCAAGGCAAGGATAACATCTTATGGCTTAAGATGTGAAGCCATTTGAATTTTAATAGTTTAAGCCTTCTTAAATAAAAGAGCATGATACATGCATACCTCGAATTATAACTCTCGATAGATGTTGCACAACATGACTTGTAGGAAAGCATCCAAGATCAAACTTCACTAACAATTTGTCAATAAGATCAATTGGGGTATTAAATGCGGTTCATTCAAATATGTGTGGTCCCTTTTATGTGACATTCTTAGGTGGAAAAAATATATCGTCATATTTGTAGATGAATGTTCAATAATTTTATGGTTATATCTGATCAAGGCTAAGAGAGATGCTTTAGACGTGTTCAAAAGATTCAAAAGGCTAGTAGAAAATCAAATTGGCAAGATGTTGAATATCTTGAGGATATACGGTGGATATAAATATACATCCAAAGAATTTGAATCTCATTGCACTCCACATGTAATTATACATTAAGTCATAACATCATATACTCTATAACACAATGGCATATATGAAAGGAGGAATAAAAGTGTATTAAACATGAAAAGTGAATACTGAAGCAGAAATGGTTGTCTCACAATATGTGGGAAGAAGAATTGACCATAATGTCTCATATATTTAAGATGTGACTTACAAAAGATTAAATGAGGAGACTTCTAAGAAAGCTTGGTCAAGAAAAAAGCCAATTGAGACTCACTTATGAATGTTTGGCTCATTATGTTTCAAACGTATCCTTGATGTAAGAAGAAATAAGTTAGTTGATAGAAGTGAACCAATGATCTTTGTTAGTTATCATATGACTAGTTCATACATGTTATAAAATCCTAATTTGAACAATATTGAGATCGGTAGAAATGTCAAGGTGATGGAGGAAGAATATTGGGATTCGAAATAAGATGGTGTGTCCAACTTAAACGTTTCAATTGACTTGGATGACAAGACAAGTGTAACACCCCAAATATTATATTTATTATTTAATTATATTGTTGTGATTTATTTGATTAAATAGATGATTTGATGGCATGTTGTGGGATAGTGTTGGATTAATAAGATAATTAGAATTATTAATAAATTGGATAATTAGTTATAATTATTTGCATTTATTTTAATAATTAAATAAGGATAATATTTGGTGTAGAGGTACTAAGGGCATAGCCGTAATATTGTGTGGAATAAGTGAGAGCGAGAGTGGAACAACGTAATAAGGGTCCAAGGGGTAAGAAGAACATAAGGAAAAAGTGAGGTTGAGAGTGATCATTTTGTACGATCATATTTTGGAGAGAAGAGAAAGCAAGGAGGTGAGAAAGAGCTAGGTCAAGAAGACTCCATTCTTGAAGCTTGGGAACCATCAATCTAAGGTAAGGGTGGGGTTCCAACTCTCTAAGGCTATTGTATAATGATGGGTATGTAGAAGTTTATTTCGTTTATCACCATTTATAGAGGTTTAGATGTATGTAGGTTTGTTTGGGGTTTTGTGATGAATTGATGATATGGTGATTTATGGTGAAATTGGTGAATTGTGATGTGTAAAATGCTATAATTTGATACCCGTAAAATATGTGATGATGTATTATTTTTGTGGTATGATAATATGATGATTTTTGAGACTTTGAGATTGTCTTGGTGTTGAAATCGAAATTGGAATAAGGCTGGAACATAAGCGAGATTGCAACTGAGAGGTTTTTGATTCACGAGTTTTGTCGAGAGAGCCATGCGCGAACGATGAGGTGAGCTAGTCGCCTCTACTTCGTTAGGCGATCCAAGCGACAAGCATCTAAGTGAAAAAAACAAGGCTCTTGGAAAATGTATGTGAAAAAGACTATTGCCCCATCATCACCGTGCGAGGGAGAGGCAAAAGGACCCAGTCACCAGGTGAGCAAGGATAAAGTGGGACACGAGGTACGTCGCCTCTACATTGTCAGACGAGCGTCGAGTGAGCAGAGTTGCTTGCATTTTTGTAAAGGACGTAACTTAAGTTTCTGGAATCCATTTGACGCATCGTTCGAAGCATAAGAAAGCTAATGCAATGTGTTGTACCCTGAAATTTTCCCTCCCATTTTCACACGAGACATACTCCTAGAGATTCTCAATTGCTCAAGGTTGATCAAGAATTGACCAGACAATTTTCCTCCTAAAGCAATGAACCCCCAACTAGGGTTTTAATTTTCATCGAGATGGTTGGGCTCCAAAGGTCTCAAATTCTTCTCCATTGACCTAATATGTCCTCAAGATCATCCATGCCAAGTTTCATGCCTTTCTCAACTAGTTTTCTCAGTCAATTGCTCAAGTATTGGAAAATCAACTATGCTAGGTCAAAAGTCAATTGTGTCCCATGAACATTCAAACTTTAATATTTTTGGTCAACATAAATATTTTGAAGTGGTAACCATCATTTGATCAAGGGTTGATCATGATTCCTCAATAAATACTCCTAATTCATCAAAAGTCAAAAAGGGCAAATTAAGGTTTCTATAGGAAAAGTCAATCAAACTTTGACCAAGCATAACTTCTCATACTTTATCAGAAATTTTCCAACCAAAGCTCATTTTGAAGAGAATACAATTTCTTACAACTTATATTCAGCCCTCAATTTCAAGAAATGCACCATTTGAAAGATATAAGTTCATACATTACAGGTCATTTTAGAAAGTCAACAAAAGCCACTTTTTTCTAAGACCTTTTACATCAAGATAACATCTTCAAATGCAAACTTTATCAAAAGAGGGATTAGAGTATACGTCTTGGGCTTTCAAAAAAGTACAAGATCATCATCATGAGATAAAAATAGAACAAGTTATGGCTTGACCAAGTTAGGAAATGTTTGGAAATTTCAAGATTGGTCCATTGAACAAATT